AAGATATGAATAATAAAATGGCAATAACTACATATCTATCAAAAATTACTTTAAATGTAAATGGATTAAATGCTCCAATCAGAAGACACAGGGTAGCTGAACAGATAAGAAAACAAGACCCATAAATATGCTGCCTAAAAAAGACTCATTTCAGAGTGAAAGACACAGACTGACAGTAAAGGGATGGAAAAAGGTATTCATGAAAATGGAAACAACAAAATAAAAAGCTGGGGAAGCAATACTTATATCAGACAAAACAAACTTTAAAACAAAGGCTATAACAAGAAACAAAGAAAGGCCCAATAATCCTACTTCTGGGTATTTGTACAAAGAAACCCAAAACACTTCTTTGAAAGGACATGTGAATCCATACGTTCATTGAAGCATTATTTACAATAGTCAAGATACCGAAACAACCTATGTGGCCATCAACAGATGAATGGATAAAGAAATGGCACATATATACAAGGGAATATTACTCAGCCACAAAAAGAATGAACTCTTACCATTTGTAACAACACTGATGAACCTATAGAGTATTATGTTAAGTGAAATATGTCAGAGAAAAACAAATACCAAATGATCACTTACAATCTAAAGAACAAAATACAAACAAAATACAACAAAATACAAACAAAACAGAAACATATAGATATAGAGAACATTTTTGATGGTTGCCAAATGGGAAGGACGTTCAGGGCATTGGTGGAAAAAAGGAAGGGATTAAGAAGTACAATTTGGTAGTTACAAAACAGTTGTGGGATGTAAAGTATAGCAAAGGAAATATAGTTAATAATACTGTAATAACTATGTATGGTATCTAATGGGTACTAGATTTATCAGACTGGTCACTTCATAAGTTATATAAATGTTGAATCACTATGTTGTACACCTGAAATTAATACTGTATGTCAACTATAATTAAAAAATAAAAAAAAATGATTTAACAAAAAAGAAATATTTTATAAAGTTTTTTCTTAATAATAAACTTCATTCTCAAAGTAGTACTTCACTTTATTATTGGAAGAGAAAAAGATCCCAAACTTTCTTTACTCTTATATCCTCATTAAAATCAATGTGATTTTCTAGAGAAAGTGTAGTAAAATAGTATCTCTAATCTTATTTATATCCTTTTCCTCATTCACTGAACACTTTTTGCAACCCAGCAATTTATTGAGTGTGATTTTTTTAAATAGAAGAATTATAGCACCTGTCCTCAAAAAGCTTACAAATGAAGAAATTAGAATACCAATATAATTATATAATAAGATGCTAAAACATATGAAATAAATGGCAATTTTCACAGACAAATCAATGTGGACTCCAGAAAGAATTCAGTAACTTTTTATGTATACAGCATATAGAACTTTAATACAAACCATCACATGACAAAGAATATCACCTTTCTCCTCATTTGATAAATTCAATGTATATTTTTTGAAGGTTATAAAAATTGTAGGGAAGAATTATGGAAGATTTAAAAATAGGCAAAACAGATTACTGAATAGCCTTTCAATGGAATATTGGCACCTCCAGGGATTACTTGATCCAATAGGGGTGTGGGGCTTGCTTGTCTTTGCCTAGGCCAAGTTACATCTCTGTGGAGTAAAAGTTAAAGTGTAGAAAATTGATAGTATGAATAATTGCTGTCTACAGAAATGCAAATTATGCTTAGTGGAACTGAACAGTTTTGCCAGTTGTGTATCCATCTGCATCAATATTAGCATGTTTGATCTATAACAGTAAGGTGCTTCAAATTTTCCTCTGAACCTGTTCTAACACTTGACTGATTCCTTCATTAAAGAGTTAAATATCTTTGGTTTTGTGTTCATTTTATATGTGAATGAGAGTCATGAGTATATCTTTTTTTAAACTTTATCCTTCAATAAAATGAATACAAGATGATCTCTATCTCTTTTCAAAGAGTTCACAATATAGGAAGGGAGATTACAATGAAATTAAGTATTACAATAGAGATATAAACAACATACTATGAGAAGTAAGATAAAATCATCTTCTATGTGGAAAGTTTAAGAAAAGTCTTACATCTTAAGTTACAATTATATTGTAAAGCAGGGGTCATGAAACTAGGGCCAACCCAGCCATTATCTGTTTTTGTTCAATCTATGAACTAAATTTCATTTTTACATTTTTAAATACTTGGGAGGAAATTAAAAGGATGATTATTTATGTGAAAATTACATGAAATGCAAATATCAGTGTCCACAAATAATGTTTTATTGGAACCCAACCACACTCACATATGTATTACTTCTGACTGTTCTCGCATTACAATGACAGAGCTGAGTAGCTGCAAAAGAGACCTTATGTGGCACTCTCATCAATTCATACTGCTGCTCAGCACACTATAAATTGCAGTGTTGAGTTATAACTCAGTAGCATTTCAAGATCCACATGTATCACCATACCACATTTTAAAAATTACCAATCAATACAGGTCATATAAAAATAAACAATGAAGACATGAGTGAACTTTTAATGTCATGCTTTTAAGGCACAGAAGAGTGTGAGTTTTGTTATCAAATTAGGTGACAAAACATTGTATTTATTATGCAGTGACACTACAGCTGTGCTAAAAGAGCAGAATATACATCAATATTACCAAACTCCGCTTTCATCAAAATATTCTCAACTCACAGGAAAGCAGCAATCTAAAAAACTAAAAAATTTTAAAACAGAGTATATCATCAGAGTTTCTTCACAAACATAGAAACAAGACTGTATCCAAAGTAAATTTCCAGGTAATTCATTTGTTAGCCAAGCAAGGAAAGCCATTTACCATTTACCAATGGTGAGTCAATTATATTATGTTTGACAACAGCAGTCAAAGAAATCTGTCCAGAGAAAACAAACTGTTTAAGCCTATTAGCCTTTCAGTGAGAACAGTTGTTTGAAGAGTAGAGGTTGTTGGGAGCAAAATCAATAGTAAATTAAAAACAAGGGAAATGATTTCCAGTGGTTTTCTCTGACGCTTGATGAGTCGACAAATGTGACCAATACTGTTCCTTGAGGAGTCAATGCTGAGTTTAAAGTGGCTCAAGGATTAGCCCCTATGAACAGTCTGCAGGGAACAACAACAGGTTTCAATATTCTCAAATAAACTCAGCAAACATTAATTCAGTACAACCTGAAGTGGAATCTATTATGATACATTATTAAAAGATATGTGTAGAGCAGAAAAGGCTTACTTGGACATACTTTCAACTTCTGTTACTGAACACTAAATATTTGCCTTTTGTAATCAGATTTTGCTGCAGATTTGATGTTATTTCTTAGTGAATTTTACCTAAAATCAGAAGGCAAGCCATAGCTTATATAAGAAACTTACACTGCAATATTACCGTTAGAATTGCAAGTAATCATGCGCTGCTACACATACTTCCCAAATATCGAACATTAAAACAAAATGGGAGAGTTCCATCACCACATAAATTTGTAGTGAATATATTTTCAAAGCTGAAACAACAGTTCCAGTAGGGTTTTTCAGACTACAATAAAAATACCAAGTAAATTTCCATTCTGTAAAATCCATTTAATTGTGCAACTGAGGAGCTTCCACCTAACCTTCAACTGGAAGTCTGAAATGTAATGTTATGCTAAAAGGCAAATATTAAAAAAAAGAATCTAACAGAATTCTGTAAATGCCTTCTCAGCACTGACTATGCTCAATTAAAGTTATATGTTCACAAACTGATGTCATTATTTGGCAGTACATATCTGAGTGAAAAAGCATTTTCAAAAATGAAATACAAAAATCTCATTACAGGTCAGCATTGACAGATAAACATCTATATTCATTTTGATAAGAAACACTAAATTTTAACTATGATTAAATAAAGTGGTATCCTCCACAAAAAGATGTCACTGTTCTTATTAATAGATCTCAATTATATAAAACTAGAATAGATTAAATAGGTATTTCAAACTTATGTTGAAAACTACACTATGTAAGATTTTTCTAACTAACCCCCAACAAAAACTGCTTTTCCAGCATCTCAGTGAATGTATATTCCATTCTTCAGGTTGATCAAACCAAAAACTTTAGAGTTATCATTGGCATCTCTTCATCTTACTCTCTATATATTATTCATCAGCAAAAATGGTTGGCTTTATCTGTTAAACTATATTCAGAATCTAACTGTTTTTCACCTATTCACCATCCTGGTTCAAGCTACCATCACTGTACACTTATTACAGTAATCTTCTAACTGGGCTCCTTAGTTCCTCTTTTACCTCACCCTTTAACCTATTCCCTTCAATATTTTAAGCCGAATCATGTAACTTCTTAGCCAAAAACCCTCCAGTGGTTTCCTATCTCACTCAACATAAAAAACCAAAGTCTTTATAATGGACTGCAAGAAACTACATGATCTCCTCTCTACCTAACTAACCACTTCTTTGACCTCATCTCCTTCTACTTTCTCCTGGCTCAATTCAAGCCGCATGTCTTACTTTTGCATTTTTTCCAATACTTTTTAATCCTATGCCACATCCTTTAACTTGTTCTTCCATCGCCTAAAATGATCTCTTTCCAAGATAAACACACTACTCACTCTCTCACATCCTTCAGGTGTCTGCTCAAACCTCACCTTCTCCCAGAGGACATTTGTGACCAACTATATAACTAGCAACTATCCTTTCACACTCTATCCTACCATTCTGTAACTCTATTACTCTACATTACTTTTCTATAATAGCACATACCACCACTTGACATATTATGTATTTAATTAATTGCTTTTCCTCCTATCCCATTAAAATACAAGCTCCACGAATGCAGGAAATTTGTTTGTTTTTATTCGTGGTTTTGCCCACAAAGTCAAAAACAGTGCCTGGAATAGATTATTTGCTCAATGGATACTTCCGCAACAAATGAACAAGGCAACGACGACAAAAATTTTCTTTAAGTAATTTTCCTCAGTTCCTCTCCCTTATACAAGTAAGATATACATATATGCATATGCATAAAACTGACTTACCATTGCACTAAGTGTTTCTTCCCAATCAGGCCGCTCTCGAGGGTGAACATTTCTGGGTAGTTCTGGAACAAAATCATCCTCTTCAGAATGTACTGAGGACTTCATCTTCCTAGAGATCAAAAACATGAAAGACTATGATAAGAATTCCTATTTCCATAAAAACTTTCCAATGACCACAATTCAAACAGAAAATTATGTGAGATTTAAAATTTAGTTCATAGGCTTTTAGTGGCTAATATTGTTCCTCCATTTCTACTCTAGTTTTCAGAGGGCTTTCCTGATATACTAAATATCTGCTTTTATTCCAGAAGATAAAAAGTAAGGTTTATAACTAAACCTTTATGGTCTGTGGTAATTATTACATAAGGACTGATTTTATCTGTTCAACACAGTTGGAACATTGAAAAGAATGCAACAGCCATAAATATTTAAGGAACTGTACTAAGCATTAGTAAAATTCCAGGATGAAAAGAAGAGATACGGTACTTCTGTTTCCAATTTATAGAGCAAAGTGTATTAAACTAGCAGTCTCAAGTTGAACAACTATGAATACTAGACAATATATATAAAACTATTTGTCTGAAGGCACAGGAAAGCAATAAATACAGGCAAAATTTCTGGGGCTACACGAAAACCCATGAAGCGAATTCTACCTTTAATCATTCTTTTTTATATAATAAATTTTCTAAATCGATGATACTAAAATATTAAGCATAATATTGTAGTCTAACTTGGCATAGGAGGCAGAAGTTGGACATTGGGGTTACTAAAGCAGATGAGGATTCAGGGTAAAAAAAAAATGCCACCCCTCAAAAAAGATCTGTAGAGAAAGAGCCCAAAAACATACATGGAAATTCCCCTCCGATTGTTAACTAATTCCTCAGTTTGAAAGTATGTAGGACAAGATGCCAAGAAAACTATCAAAAAATAGCTGATGGGCAATTAAAGAGCCAAGCAGATATTTCACAGCCTAGCCATGCTGAGAGGGAGGTTGGCAAACAAGCATTGCCAAGATGAGGATCACTAGGAAAAACAAACAAACAAACAAACAAAAATGCAAAAAGACCTGGCTCTCAACTGAGACTCCAGAATAGCCTTTAGCAGTCAGGACAAAATAACAATAGACATGCTCAAACAAAACCTAAAACCAAGCATCGATAAGATCAGAACTGCCAAGAGAAAAATTAACTCTTTTTAGAGGAAAATAATATTCTACAGACGCCTTGCAAATTTTTCATCCGCCTTGTCTGGTATCCAATAAACATTACAAGTCATGCTTAAAAACACACACACAAGCAAATGAATAAAAATTGGGGAAAAATGTAGTCAAAAGAGATTCACATTTGATTCAGATTTTAGAATGATCAAAAAGGGACTTTTTAAATGGCTATCACAGATTTCTGGCTTCTGGTTATGATGTACAAAGCTATAAAAAGCATCACTCACAGCTTAACAATAAGAAAAGACAGATAATCTATGAAATCACAACTTTTCTTGAATACATCAAGAAAAATGAGATCTCTGGACAACTAAATACTAGCTTAAACTCTGAAGAAAGACAGGTATATTCAAGATGAATCACAAGCAATTACTTGCATAGGGCAAAGCAGACAGAAGAGAGATATACAAGCTGGTAAGAAGAACAAAGTTAAATTTTTATAAAGTTACTAAAAACATTTATAATTAATGCATTTAGAAAAAAATATGTCCATATAAAAAAAGATGAAGAAGAATTTCAATAGAAAACTGGAATCTATGGAAAACAATCAAATATTTGTTTGTTCATCCTAAAAATGAAAAACAAAATATCTGAAATTACGAACTCAATAGCTGAGTTTAACAGAACAATGGACATGGCTAGAGAGAATTAACGAACACGAAAATAGTGCAGTAAAAAAGATCTACGTTGAAGAACTTAAGAGAAAAAAGGAACAAAAATACACAAACCAGCATAAAACACACACTTGGTAAAAGGTTTCAAATATGTCTAAACTAGCAACTCAGAGATAGATGATATAAAAGGGAGAAAGGGACAAAAGCAATATTTGAAAAATAATAGCTGGAGAGTTTTCAAAACTGATGAAAGTCATTGAACTACAGATTGAAGAAGTCCTCAAGCAGGATTTAAAAAATAATAATAATAAAATCTATGTATATTATACTCAAACTGCAATTTAAAAAAAATATTAAGAGAAATTCTTAAAACAGCCAAAGAATAAAAGACGAGCTGACTTCAAAGGAGCAATAGTAACAATGAGAGAGGAGAGCACCTCAATGCAAATGAGAAAATAGAGTGAATTTTCAGCATAACTAAAGGAAAACATACTGCCAACCTAGAATCCTCTACCTCACAAACCTGTTCATTAAAAAGCAAGTAGACAATAAGTTATTTTCAAACAAACGCTGAAAGAATTTGCCACCAGACCTGCCCGCCCCTCCCAAAAAAAGCATTCTTGAAACTACAGAAATGGACAAGTACAAAAAAGGGCAAAAAGTGGGAAAACATAAATAAATATTAATGTAAAAAAAATGTAAATACACTAATGCAATTTCCTATGAGATTTATACTAAACATTTAAAAAACACAAAGGACAGGAAAAGCACATGCCAACAGTTTAGGAGTACTCTATTGGCTACAAAGTGAAATAACTCCAATTTTAAAGAATGCAGTAAGTCAAAGACATGTTGCAATTCCTATGGTAACTACTAAAAGAACAATAAATAAATATATAATTAAAAAGCTGATAGAGAAATTTTTGAAAAATAAAACATACTTGATAAATCCAAAAGAACACAGGAAAGAATAAGACACAAATAATAAATGAGGCAAATAAAAAATCAAGATAATATACTTCATTCTAAGTATATTATTATAATTTTTTAAATGGTTGAATTAGTAGGCAAGCATGTGGAAAAACTAGAACCCTCATTCACTGTTGGTAGGAATGTAAATGTTGCAGCCACTTAAGAAAACAGTCTGGCAGTTTCCCAAAATGTTAAACAAACATATCATATGATCCAGCATTTCCACTCCTAGGCATTTAACCGAGAGAAATAAAAATACATATCCACCAAGGACTTGTACATGGATATTCATACCAATATTATTCATAATAGCCAAAAAGTGAAAACAACCAAAATGCCCATCAAACAAAAAATGAACAAACAAAATTACCAGATCCCTACAATATCATCCAGCCATTAAAAAAAATGCTGATTCATGCTACCACACAGATGAATAGTAAAAACATTATACTAAAAGAAGTCAGACACAAAAGGCCACATACTGTATGATTCCATTTATACAAAATGTCTAGACTAGTCAAATCCATAGAAACAAAGTATATTAGTGGTTGCCAGGGACTCACAGTAGGAAGACATAAAGAGTAACTACTAAGAGATTTCCTTCTGGAATGTTCAAGAATTAGATAGTGGTGATGGTTGTGTAACTTTGTGAATATACTAGAACCACTTCATTGTATACTTTAAAAGAATGCATTTTATGTATGTGAATTATATATCATTAAAAAAGTAAATGGACTAAAAATTCTATTAAAATAGATAAAAGGAAAATTTCACAATAAGTGTGAATTAAACAGGGTGATATAATAAAAACTGTACGAAACAAATAACACAGCTTCAAAATATATAAAACAAATATGAAAGAACTAAAAATAAAAGAGAAAAATCTGCAATTACAGTTGAAGACTTTAACAAACATTTTACAGTAACTGAGAGAATAATTAGACAAAAAAAACATCATAAGGGTATAGAAGATTTGAACCCAAAAGTCCAACCTGAACTAATATAGAATATTAAACTCAAAAACTACAGAATATACATTTTTTTCAAGTGTATACGGAACATTTATCAAGAGACTATACAGTAGATAATGAAGCAAATCTCAACAAATACAAAGAACTTAAATTATAAAGTGTTTTGTGACTACCACGGAATTACACTCCAAATCAATTACTGAAAGATAACTAGAAATTCCCCCAAATGTTTGGAAATTAAGAAACACACCTCTGAGTAACTCATAAATCAAACAAAACCACAGTGGAATTTATAAAATATTTTGATCCAAATGATAATAGAAATATGAGATTAAAATGCGTGGGATACAATGAAAACAGAAAAAAATTTGTACCTCTAAATACATGTTATTGGAAATAAAACAAGTTGAAAAATAAACATTCTAAGTTCCCTTCACAAAAAGCTAGAAAAAGAATAGCAAATGAATCCAAGAAAAGTAAAAAGATAAAATTTTAAAAATAACAAGTCAATGAAATAGGAAGCAGTTACATAATAGGGAAAATAATAAGCCAAAAAAGCACAACCCATAAGATTCATCTAGAAAAGACAGAGAATACACAACGTAAAGAATGAAAAGGGAAATATAACTAGAAAGCCTACAGACATTGAAAAGATTCTGAGGACATTAAGAACAACTTTTTTCCCAATATATTTGTGAATTTAGTTGAAATGAACAAATTCTCTGAAGAACATAACTTACCAAAACCCAAATAAACAACAACAAAATGAACAGTCTTATAGCTATTAAAGAAATTGAATTTGTAAGAAAACTCCACGCCCAAATGGATTCACTGATGAATTATTTCAAACATTCAAGGAATAAGTAATAACAATATTACATATATTCATCTTCTAAAATAAAAGAAAGACCTCCCAACCTGTTCCATGAGGCCAGGACAGCCTTCATTACAAAATCTGATAAAGATATTACTAGAAAATTATAGGTCAATACCATGAACAGAACTGCAGAACTCCTAAGCAAATCAAACCCACTGATAAACAAAAAGGATACACAGTGACCAAGTAAGTTTTAGTCCAAAACTAAAATAATTTTAGCATTCTAAAATCAATCCCTATAAGTGGCCACATCATTAAATAAAGGAATAAAAACATATATCATTTCAGGAAGTAAAATTTAATACATACATACATATACATACATATACATACATACATGAAGGTTATTAAAACACAAGCAGAGAGCTAGTACCATACTTAAGGGTGAAATACTAATACTTTCCCGCTGACAATCAAGGTTAACAAGGTCATGAACAAGACAAGAATGTCTTGT